AAAAAAAAAGCGAAATTTATATGCAAACATGATTTTTTTCCCTTTTTTTTTTTAAACATTTCAATTGCGACAAAGACACGTTTTTTTTTTCTCAAAATTCTGTTATTTTTCAACTTTAAGGAAGAATGGCAAAAAAAAAATGGAAATTATTATTAGCCTCTTTCATTTTAACAAAATAAATATTTATTTCCTAGTAAGTTACTTGTAGTAAGCAAGAGCCACGTGTCGATAGATAGAGGTGTCGCAGATTCCACAAGCAGAAATTATGGGCTCATGGAAAGTAGAGACGACTTCTTGAACGTGTCTGGAAATTACGGGCTCACAGAAATTACGGTTGAAGCTGTAATTGTTAGGATTTCTCTAAAACTACGTCTATAAATTAGTGATTTTTGGGAGCGTAAGTGATGAGCCCCAAGAAGCAGTGCGTGAAAACCCGGAAGAGGAGATTCAGAGCTCAAAACAAAAGGCTCATTTGGTGGAATTATGAAGCATGGCAAGATGATGATGATGAAGATGATGAGGAAGAAGAAGAATAAGAAAATGTTGTTTGTTTATTTTTAAAAATTTGAACTTGAGTGTTTTTTTTAATTTTATTTTAATTTTTTGAAGTAATTTTTTATATATAAAATGATGAAGATGTAAAGCAGTGTTGTTTGAAGTAAATTTTTTTTAACACTCAGTAAAAAAAACTAACTAACTAACCACACCACGTAAATAAATAAATAAAAAACTAACAAACCATGTAATACTTAACAAAAAAAATAAAAACAAAAAAAACTAAACAGAAAAGAAAACAAATAAAAAGAAATTAACTTATTTAAAAACACACAAATATTTATTACTACCCGTAACTTACCAGGAAATAAATATTTATTTATTTTTTCTTTTCATTTTAACAACACAAAATCCCTTGTAAAAAACAAAAATAACACATCTCTTTTTTAACAAAATATTAATCCTATAGCCCAACAATATTAAGCCTGTAGCCCAAACCCAATTAATAACCCTACATTTTTTTTTCGGATGAGCATAAACCCTACTTTCTTTACTCAGCCGCCGCACTCCCATCTTTTCCTTCATCTTTTTTTTTTCTTCCTTTTTTCTTCTTCTTCTCCGCAGGAAACGATGGCTCCTCCCTTGAAACGGTTGTCAACGCTGCGCCTTGGATTGTGACCGTTGCTGCCACCACCATTGACAGCTTTAGTGAAGGTTCGATCCATATCAGGTACTTGGGTCTTTGATTTTAGTTGAAATGTATATTTCCTTATAGAAATCTCCACATTTCAATAAGTCCATGCTACTTGCCACGCTTGATTTGGCTTGTTTGGAATTGAAAACATTTACTTTTCTTTCTCTCGTGGATTGTGGTTTTGACTGTGAGTGTAACCAACAACGTATTAATGCATATCTTTGTATTCAGGAATTTTTGAAAGCTCTGATTGGTTTTATAGACGTTGCTGGCCAAAATATGATATCACTAACAAAGTTTAAAGCAATATTTTGCTCTTTCTTTATCCTTGAGCTTCCTTATGTTTGACAATGTTTATTGTTCAAACGGCAGATGCAGTGAAAGTTGCTGCTGGAGTTTCTCTTGCCGATACAGAAGGTT